GAGCTTGGCTTTTCTTTAACAGGTTGATTGTTTGCATTTTAAATTTTGTATAGCTCTGAGACCTGGTTGTTAGTCTTTTTGAAAGTGTTAGTGAAGGGTTTGTCCTCTTAATTTTCTGTTTTTATTTGTTTCTGGGGGTGAGGGTCATAAAACTTACAACCTTGGTACCTTACGGAAGATGTTTCCACCATGATGAGATCCTGTGTTGCTATGGTATAATTTTTGTCCTTAATTTCTACCAAAATCTGGGTTTGTGGTTAATAAAAAGGTAACATTAAGAATCTCATTATTTCTGCAAATTCGTTGGTTGGTGAGGAGGGCAGGGACCTTCATTTAGATATTTAGACACTTTAGAAAAACTATGCCTTGGAGAGCAGACCCAAAGATTGCCCATCTAAGAGTAAATTTTACTTTTAGACTTTGGAGAAATGAACAAGAGAAAGAAAAAAAGAAAAAGAAGTAAACAAGAGAAAGTTGGATGAACTTTTGTTACCTCCTCAATAAGTAACCCTTATAGAGTGACTTTCCCTCTCTTCCTGCTTTTATCTCAGAACTAGTTTTCCTCTCTCTACTGTAGCATCTTTGTCTTCATCTGAAAACCAGAGATAGGGCTGGGGATTCAGCTAAGTGGTTCTACCGCCTGCCTATTAAGCGCAAGGTCCTGAGTTCGATCTCCAGTACAGAAAAAAAAAAAAGAAAACCAGAGATGATCATTCTGATTTTGAAATGTGAATAAGCTTATACATTCAGTAAGATTTCTACCCCAGGGTGGTTTAAAAAATTAGGTAAGGGAATAGAGCATATCCTGCTAATGAGTGGAATGTGGGTCCTTCAGTTTTTCTTTACCTTATCTCTATTCTTCATAACATTTGAGAAATGTGTTCTGCTCTACTCCCTAGGAAAGCCTAATCATTCTCTTTGCTCTCTTTACTGGGGATTGACCCAGGGCTTTTGCATTGAGCTACATTTCCAACCCTTTAAAACAAATTTTAGATAGGGTCTTGGTGAGTTACTAAGTTGCTACGCTGGGCTGGAACGTGGGATCTTCCACCTCAGCCTCCTAGAGTGCTGAGATGACAGGCATGTGCCACCATGCCTAGCTTCTCTAAATCCTTGATATAATTCTTTGCCAGTGTTTGGGGATCCTGGCTCTGTGCTGGGGATCAAACTCAGGTCCTTGTACATTGGACATTATAAAGTTTTTTTCATTCTCTTTCTGTCTTGTAGTCATTCCACATCTATTTCTTGAGTATGAAAAGTTAAGGATACTCAAAATGTATAGGTCTTTTTACTGATTTATTTTATTTTTGAGACATTATTTTTGGGTCTTTGTGTTGTTTAGGCTGGCCTTGAACTCACTATGTAATCTAGGCTGGCCTCGAACTTGTGATCCTCCTGCCTCAGCCTCCCTAGTGCTGTGATATCTGGCACGTGCCACCATGCCCGGCTGTTTTTACTAATTTAGTCTTCAAAGAGTCTGTTTTGTTTGCTTAAGTAAAACAGAAATCTAGTCTTATAATTCTTTATCTGGGATCCAAGTACGCTTCCTTCTAGTCCCCTAGTTGTCTTCCTGTAGCTGATCTAGCATCAAGATTTGCTTAGTGGACTCCATTCTTTTCCTTGTTCTAAAGCAGTGACATTCTCTGCATACCTGGAAGCTCTTAATGAGGGAGTCTATAAAAGCTGGGGAGGAAACTAGCTTCCTTAGCTATAAATCTGTACCTTTTTATGGTTCTTTAGGATCATTTTCTTTTTCTCCACCATCACCCTGAACTGCCTTGCCCCCTTCCCTAGCTCTTGAAAACAGAAGACAGAAGGCTAGAAGCTTCTGTAGAGGGGAAGGCTATAAGAAGGGGTGAATAACAGTTGTATGTGTTATATATTTGAGTCAGGGTCTCACTTTGTAGTTCAGACTGGTCCTGAACTCCCTATGTAGCCCAGGCTGGCCTCGAACTCAAGGTGATCGTCCTTCCTCATCCTCCTGAATGCTGGGATTACAGGTGTGCCCCACCAAGCCCAGTCAATATGAATCAGTTTTATAGTTAACAGTTTTATAGTGAATGGTGTTTTGTCTTTGAGACCATTTCTCATTATGTTGCCAGTGTTGCTGAGGCTGACCTTAAATTGGCAATTCTCCTTCCTGCCTTAGCTTTCCAAATGGTTGAGACAGGCACATGCCACCACATTTAGCCTCTTTGGTGTTAAACTGAATTCTTTCCTGTCAGCCATGAGAAACAGATGAGGAGAGAGGGAGGAATTTAGAAATTAAGCAAATAGCTCTCTTTTTGTGTTCTCTTGTATGAGATGTGTAGCTCACAATGCTACTTACTTGTGATTATTGAAATCCCCCTACAGTCTAACCTTCCTTTCTCTCTGGTTACATCCAGACTCTTGGTTTTGCCTTCAAAGGAAATGAAGTTTCATATTTTTGCAGACCCTTTAGCCCAATGTGTTCCTGTCATTTTCTTTCCTCTCTGTTGTCTCTGTATTTAGTTTTCCACTTCTCATACCACTATTAATAGATTAGATTACAGAATAGAGTAGGGGTTTTTTGTTTTGTTTGAGATAGGGTCTTGCTGTGCTGCTGGCCTTGAGCTCATTATGTAGCCCAGGCTGATTTCAAACTCACTGATCTTCCTGCCTCAGCCTCTCAAGTGCTTGGATGTCAGGCATGTGCCACCATGCCCAGCTAGAATATAATATTTTGTAGCATCTACTTAGCTTTAATTCTCATCCCTCTTCTGGCTCTGAGACCTGTCTTTGAAAGATTATTATTATTTTTTTTTTTGGTAACAGGGATCAAACTCAGGATCTTGTGCTTGCCAGGCAGGCGGTGGCACCACTGAGCTAAATCCCCAGCAAATCACTGTCTTTCTCTTTCCAGACTGTCAATAAGGAACCTTATTGTGAAGGTTTTTATGAAAATTAAGTGATAATTGTTTAATCAGTACAACTTACTATAGTTTGCATAATAGTCATCGAATAAATACTAATTCTTAATTTTAATTTTACTCAGGTAAAATTAAGACTTAGAACAAGTGAAAATTTTTTTCCCAGTAGGTTCCAGCTAGATGGGTTGGGGGGTTGTGTATCTGTGCGTATACCTGCTTCAGAGACCAGGAAGAAGTGGGAAGAGTCCTGTTTACTCCGTTAACCCCAGATTGTTAGTAGGAAAACTGACACTATCACTTGGGGTATTGGCTTTCCTGCTTTTGACCCCCTATAGATCAGAAACTAAATGCCACTGCCATCTCTTTCTTAGCTTGGGAAGCACACCTCATTGTTCTAAAGCTGGCTAAAACAGAATAGAGGATAGCTGCTCATGCACTAATTTGGAGATGTTTTGAGAAAAGTAAAAAACCGACTTGAGGGTCTTAAAGTGTTTCTTCTGGGTGACTCCTCAGTGCAGGAGACAGATGAGTAGTAGGGGGAGAGAAGCCATTTTTGGCTCAGGCCAAAAGCTTAGGAGTAGCTCTGGATAAAGCAATTCCCTTGGGAGACAATCTAATAAATAACACTTCTGTTACTCATCTTCATTCTCAACTTCACCTAGTCCCAACCTGTTTTGTAGTTGGTCTGGGACAAGGTGGCAAGGTCAGTCTGATGGTAGAACTAACAGAACAAGGAAAGTATGGTGGCACATTGAACCCTAGCTGCCCTATCCATCATTCTGGACCAGGTTTATGTCCCAGCTTTCCTTTTTTCTTTTTAAATATGTCATGGATCCCAAGATGAATGTAATTATTATGTATCACAAACATATACCATAATAAGAAAACATGTAAATCAGGCAAGCTGGGCATGGTGGCACACACCTGAAACCTCAGCATTCTGAGAGATTGAGGCAGAAGAATCACAAGTTTAAGCATACTCTGAGCAAAGTATCTTAGTGAGACCCTGTCTCAAAATTTAAAACAAAACATTTTTTAAAGGGTAGGGAACATAGTTCAGGGACAGAAAGCCTCAAGTTACTACCAAAAAAAGAACAGTTAGCTGAGCCTGTTGGTGCAAGCCTGTAATCTCGCACTTGGGAGGCTGAGCAGAAGGATCACCATGAGTTCAAGGCTAGTCTGCACTATAAAGCAAGACCCTGTCTCAACTAAAAAAAGAAAAGGCTAAGTTCTTTTGCCAACCTCTCTTTTAAGCCCTGGGACTTGTGCTCCAGGTACGTGATGCAGTTCTACAGTGGACTGAAGACTGTTCCCAGAGGTGCTTGCTCTACCATTGTACATGGTCAAGATAAACGGCTGCTAGTTGATTTTATATTGAGGAAAACTAGGATCAGGGACTACAGAAGAATAAGACAGACATTAGCTTTTCAAGAGAACCTTTCCATTTTGCAGAGGCTGGGAATCTTTTTGTTTTTAGAACTGTTTTGGATCAAGCTGCCCAGATTAGAGTTGTTTCAACTCCCTTCCCTTTCCCATCCTCTTTACCTGTGCCTTGGACTTCATGTCCCAGCCCTCATCCCACATGCCCTTACTGGGTTTTTTCTTGTTCCAAGGACCCCGTCTTCTTAGTTCTCAAGCAGGTTTCCTCTTTTAGCTCTTCTTCAGTTCCTGGTCTCTGAGGTGTAAATGTGGCGCTTGATTAGGGAGAAGAGTTCAGTACTGAATTCTAAACTCTTTGACTGCTTTTATTTTTCTTTTTTCAGGTTCAAGTGCTGGATTGTGTCATGTGACCATCCCAAAACTCAGAGCACCCTAAGGCCATCTTTGCCCTCTGTCACATAACTTGAAAACTGCCTGATGGCCTTTTTGCAATGTTTCCTTCCAGGAAGCCTTGATTTCAATGAAGAAGTCCTTTCCCGGCATTCCAGTGCCCTGTCAGCCCCATTCCTCAGACACTCTTTAACAAACAAAGGCAATCACACACATGGTGTAACAAATACACAAAGTAAATAATCACACTAATATGTTCAGAGGGGCACTGGCCAGGTTCACACAAATAAGGTGGGGGAGGGTTGCTCCCACTGGGTTGCTAGGCTGTGTCCCCAAACCTCTTTATCCCATGCTTTTTGGGGATAGGGAAGAACAGCGGACTGAGACTTCAACTCATAGGCTTATATTCATAAAAGAAACTCCCCCTCCTCTCTCACAACGATCTTTATTTGGTGGTACTCAAGGGGCAATACTTTTAAGTGTTCCCCAAGTTTAGTGCCCCTAGGCTCTGTAAAGTTACCTGATGCTTATGCCCAACCTCTACCCTGCCCCAAGATCAAGAGATACTTGACCTTGGGGGAATCATCTTCACTCTCCTGCCCCTCTCCTTCCGTCAAGGAAATGTGAATGGTATTGATCATCAGGTGTCTTATTCTCCATTGAGGCAGAAAGGATGAAGAACAGGGCCAGAAAGGAGAGGCTTGGGGTTGACATAGCTGCTCTATGGGAGGTTAGTTGAAAAGCTTAACAGCTCCTTCTTATTCCTCTACGGAAACACCTCGTCTCATTGTCTCACTATGAGAATAGGAGTAAGACACTCAAGCTCACCAACATTACTTTCCCAGGCTGGCCACGTACCTTTGCCCCTTCCATGGTCTTGTCCAAGTGGGAGAGACATACTTAGGAAGAACAAGCCTCCAGGTTTGCTCTCCAGTGTGGGCTTTACTTCAGTTCAGTACTGTTGCTACCAGACCACGACTGCTGGATTTACTTAGAGTGGTAATTTTGCTGCAGGTTTTCACCCCCTCCTCTCCTGACCTTCTCTAGGCTGTTGCCTGGAGCCAAGAGGTCAGCTGGTGAGGTATGGATAGAGTGTGGAGATTCTCAACTCCTTGGCTTCAGGCACTCCAGCTGGGGAGCAGGAGGAAATTTGTATTCTCTGAAGCTGGTGACTCTTCTAAGCCTCACATCTCTTCACCACTGCTCTGGTGCCCTGGTTAACTGGTCCCACAGCGAGAGGTATTTATGTCCATAAAGTGCCCGTGGTAAGTGCTCAGAATTCATCTCTTGGCTGTGGCGGGTGCTGCTATTTCTTATTCCATTGAGGGGAAGAAACTGAGGCCCAGTGAGTCCAGAGGAATGCGCATCGGGATTGTGAGATGAATGAATGGGCCCAGCTAATGACTTGAAGTGGCAGCCAGTCTGCCTGCTTCCTAGCCTTCCAAACCAGGGAGTCTGTGTCCTTCCCATCCTCTGCTGTAACTGGCCTTGTCAGTTTCTCCACTGTACTGTTCCCTCCCTGCTGCCAGATACTGCTATATTCCAAAAATAAAAAATAAAAATTATAGACACTCTGCTCCCTTGTTTTCCCTCCTACCCTGAGCTTTGGGGTTGGGGGACTAAAATGTCCCCCTCCAGAATCCCTTCCACCTTGGTCTGCTGGCTCTATTCCCTAGCCCAGAGCAGTGATTTGGATTCAGATGCCCTGTAACCTTCAGCCTACTTAACCACTCCTTTCTTGACCCCCTCTGAATCCTTCCCAGACCTGGGGGACTCAGATTTTTTTCTTTCTTTTTTCAATTGACCTGAAGATAGAGGCTGGGACCAGGGACATTCCACAGGCTCTTTGGTCTCTCTCCACTGAGGGGAATTTGGGTTTAAGCATGCTGTACCCTCTGGCTAAATAAATCAGTACCATGAAGAAAGCTGGCCTGAGGGTTAGTAGCTCACATATAGATCCTAGGTGTTGAGGACTCCCCTTTCCCCAGCTCTTAAACCCTAACCTTTTACTGTTTCTATGACCATTCAGTTTGGCTGAAGAAGGTTAGTTAGGGTACTTATGGGTTAGAAACATACATGTGTCAGCCCTCTTGCCCTTTACTCCCATTCCCAGCCCTGGAGGCTTTATACAAGTGCTTAAGTGGGTGGGTTTTGGGGAAGAGCAGGGTTTGGGGAATAAGGGACAAACGGGGCATAGTGGGCAGGGGCCCTCCTATTCCAGTAAAGCCAAATACCAAAAAATGAAAAGTCACAATAAATAAATAAATAAAATTCCCAAATCCTTTTGCCCCTGCCTTCACTTCCTTTCCCCTGCCATGGTTGGAGGAAGAGGGAAGAAGCTAAGAATGGATAGATTTCCTCTCCTACTGAGTAGTCAGGGATTCTACCCAGACTACCAAGCCCCTCACCTTGCCAGTGGAAGAAAGGAGGCTTGGTGTGGGGCTTTCATTTATTACTCCATTTCAGTCTCTTTCAGTGTTTGTCTCTGCCTAGTCTGTCTCTTCTGCCTCTCTATTCCTTTGCCTTCTCAATGCTGCTCTGTTTGCTCCTGTCTCAATCCCTCTGTCTCTACATCTCTCTGTCTTCTTGCCAAACTTTCTTACCTGCAAACCTCAAACACTCTACCCTGACCGTGCCCCTCTCTCTTTCTCCCAACCCCTCACCCTTCAGTCCCCACCTGCCTCCCTCTGTTGTATTGCACACTGCTTGGTCAGGGAACAAGGTGTGATGTTCATGGGAAGAGGTGGAGGGAGATCTAGGGCTTGGGGGGGAGGGGCAGGGTTGGGGGTTCTCAGGGTAGGGTCTGTGGGGGAGACATCCACTGTCCCCCACCTTAGGAGCAACCACAGCGATCCACCACCATGCCAGGGATCTTGCCGTAGATAATTTGCTGCTTGTCATTGAAGTAGAGCATGTTGATTGGGGACATCTTGGTGGGGGTGCAGCAGGGCCCAGCAGAGCCTCTTGGATTGGCCTGTTGCACCAAGTGGGTGTGTGGATACTTTTGCATGAACATGTACTCGCACTGGCCGGAGCAGTAGTTGGCCTTGTAGCGCTTAGGTGCGATGATCCAGTCCCAGCCGAAAGCCTCAAAGTCCACTGTGAGGGGATATCGGCAGCAGCGGGACTCGCTTGAGTGCTCATCGCAATCCAGGCCCAGGTTCCGCCGGGACCGTTTTGTGTTCTCTAGGACTCGAAGCTCCATGAAAGGATGCTGAGGGTCAGGGAGAGGGGAAAGAGATGTGACATAGCCCTGAACAGTTCCTCGTCCCTGTTCCTCTCCCACCTGCCTCTCAACAGGCATCAGAAGAGAATCCATTGGTTTCTCGGCTTTTTCATTTCTCTCCCCTCCCACCTTCTGTTCATTTTTCTTGCTATCTAGCCATCTCTCCTTCAATTCACCTTCCCTAATTCTTCCTTACCTGGCAACCAGACCCTAACAGCCCCTTGGCCCAGAGCCTCATCAACAGCCAGTTTTTGTGTTCTCACGGATCTCTCATTAACTGACACCTTCACCCCAAATCCAGTTTTCAGCTGTTGCCTGGCTTAGATCCCTGAAAAATGATAGTTGCCACCCCACCCCATCCCCACCTCCTCTAGAATCAGTTCCTGGCCCCAGAAAAATAACACTGGTCCCCAACCCCCTTCACATTCCTGGTCTCCTTTTACTAACATTCCCCACTTCCTCAGGGCCAGGTTACTCATATCCACCACCGCTTCAGGCCCCCTGCTCACCAGCCCCTCAGCTCCCGGCCCCAGGGAGGTGACAGCCAGGTCTGTGCCACTGGGATCAAAGGCGTTGATCTCGATGCCCCAGTTGCTCTGCGGCTGGCGGAACCAGCTGTGTAGCACTTGCTTGAAGTCGATGCTCTGCCAGTGGCCGGAGCGCGAGTGCAGCTCAATCTTGAGTGAACGGATACGGATGTGACGCCGGCCTCCACCCCCTCCCCCTGCGGTCCCTTCCCCAGTTAGGGGTTTCAGTCGTAAGATCTGCAGGTAGACTGTGGCTGGGCGGGGCACGGGCCGAAGGTACACCCACAGCTGGGCCTTCAGTACCTTTGTGAACATCACCTTGGGGCTGAAGTGGAAATGGCAACAGAGAGGGCTGCCATCTGTCTGCACTGCGGGGTCCGCTGATAAGAGAGAAGGGGGCAGAACATCAGCAAAAGGTGTTTGTAGAGGGGGTCAGCAGCCCTGGGAGACACTGGCAGTTTGGACTCAGGCTGTTTTCCAGTTCTTTACCCTTTTCCTGTGCCTGTATTGTTGGCTACTGTTACTGAGGTTTTTTTAGTTTAGTTTTGTTTTTGTTTTTGTACCAGGGATTGAACTCAGGACCTTGCGCTTGCAAGGCAGGTGGTGGAACCACTGAGCTAAGTCCCCGGCCCTACTGAATCTTTGATACTCAAACAGTGCCTCCTCTCTATAGGATGATATCTTGGTTAATCCTTCCTGATCTGCACCTAATCCATTTACCCTAATGTATTCGTTCCTCTCCACTAGATAACCTGCAAAGATAGTTACCTAAATTCTCCTTTCACCTGCATCAATTTTATGTTTTCCAGCATATAAGGCTTGCATTTTTTCTGAATCTTTAATCTTCTTTATAGAAGCCATATCTTTCATCACATGTGCTATCCTTAGGTCTCCCTGTCCCATTTATGCTCTTGATTTGTCTTTTGGATAAGTGAGCCTGCCCCATCCAAACCTAGATGGCCTCAAAGGAGATAACCCAGGGTCCAGTGAGGGAGTGTGGTCTAATTTAACTTATAAAGTAAACCAGAACTCAGATGTAGGCTTGCCTCATCGCACAGGTCTCATGTGTTACATAGTCATGTAGGATTTGGAATGTTGTCTCCCATCAGCACTCCACCCCACCTGAGGAGACAGAGGACCCTCCGAAGGAGGTAGGAAAGAGGAAAGTGCTTAATGATCTTCATGTATTCAGGACACCATACACAGAGTCCTTCTGCAGCATATTTTTTTCTTTTTTTTGGTTCTGGGGATCCAACTTGGGACCTTACGCTTGCAAAGGAGGCAGCGGAACCACTGAGCTAAATCCCCAGCTCTATTTTTTCTTGTTTCTGAGGTACCCAGAAACTGTGTAGCTGTGGTAGTCCTCTCAAGTTACTCCACTGTCTGGAACTTCAGGGGTAGTGCAGTGGACTAGAGTGGAGATTGAGAGATCATGAGAGTAGCTGGGGTAGAAAAGCTACTGGTGAGATCAGGAATGACAAGCAACAATCCAAATGACACATTGTGCATAATTTCAGCACAGGAATTGACTTTCTTCCTCAGATACTCATCTTGAGGGTGGATACTGTTGATAACTTGTGTATTTTGCTCACCACTGTAGCTTTAGTGCTCCCTTGCCAAGCAGTACTCAATAATTACATGCTGAATGAACTCTTAGTTTTAAATTACACAGGCAACTGCCTGAGAGTTCTTCCTAAACTCTTATTTGCCTACAATTGAACAATTTTTTTTATAACTAGGTTTAACCACTTCTTGGCTCCTCATTAACCTGTATCTGACCTTACCCACCAATATCAGACTTAGCAGTGTGATAAAGATAATTCTTCATTCATAGGAACATTAAATGAGCATTAAAGGATGTGAAAATAGTAGAGGTTCTCAGTATAGGCTGATTGCTTTGTTTTCTAAGCTCTAAATACACCTTACTACCTAAGCTAACCTAGACTTTAGAGGTGAGGGATGGGCATGGCTCCTCTTAGGCAGTGGTGGTGAGATTATGGGACCTGGGTGCTGCAGGGGGCTGTTTGTATCAGTGAAAGCTCTAACAGGTTTGGCATTAGTGCACTAAGTCTTTGGTTCCTTTAGACAAAAGTTTTCCCATCCTCACCATGGGGAACCTTCATACACTTCTCCTCCAGTGAACACAGTGGACATGGTGACAGTGCTACTAAGGGACAGGACATAAGGACAAAGTGAAGGAACAGGAAAAGTCGGAAGAGTTTGGAGATGGTGAGGGAAGAATGGAGAAGAGTCAGGAATGAAGAGAGGTTAGAGGAGATGAGCGGGAATGGAGTGAGTAGGAAGATCATGCTATGGGGAGAATTAAGTTTGGGAGTTGGGAGAACGTCAGAATGAGGTAGAATGGAGTGGGTGGGGGTTAAGAGAGGTGGGAGGGAGCTAAACCTAGTGGGGTAATGAAGAAAAAGGATAGGGTACAGAAGGAGGAACAAAGGAGAAGCAGGTAGAGCTATAGAGGGAAACCCAGCTTGAGAGCCCCCAACACACAGGCCCAGCTCTGGGGAGGGGAAGGGCCACATCTGTGTTGGATTGATCTGGTTGGTGGCAGGCAGCAGGTCAGGTTTAGTAGGCGGTGCTGGTGGGGGAGAGAGGTCATTGCACTATTTTCAGCAGAAGCCCAACCCCCTCCCTACTCAACAAGGCTGCCTCCTCCTCCACCTCCTCTGTGGGGGCCCCCCCAACCCTCTCCCAACTGGGGCTGGAAGGCCTAGGGGCTGGAGGTTGGGCTGAGAGGGCAGGGGCCTCTTAGTGTGGGGAGGAGAGACCAACTGAGGGGCTGGGCTTGGCTCCCTGAAGGGCAGGGGGCTGGGTTCCCAGGATGAAGCCTGGGGTGGGAAAGCCTGAGAGGGTAGAGGGAACTAGGGCAAGCACAGCAGCTTAGGAGAGGTGGGGGCTGGGGTCCAGGGTTGAGGGCTGGGGGAGGGGAGGCAGGGGGAGGGGAGCAGAGGCCATCTCTGCTGACAAACACCTCCCCCGATTAGCTGAGCACAAGTCTCTTATTAAAGCGGGTCCCTGGGGATTAGACTATAAAAGTCTCTTTTTGCTTTTCCCCTCTCTCCCTCCCTTCCCCTTTACTCCCCCTCCCGGTCTTAAGAGCTCAGCTAGGCTCTTAAAGGGGACGTACAATACCTGGCTGGAGACCCTGTTCCCTAGTTACCCAAATACAGGGGTGGAAGTTCCACCGGAGTGGAAGTTTGTGCAATCCCACCTGCTGGCGCCCCCCACCAGGCCTAAGGTGTGCTGCTGGCCAATTGATGCCTGCTGGCCTACCTACACTTCCTGCATCCCCATAACCAGAGCTAATTCTGCCCTACTTCCTTATGTTTAAGGGATGCTAGGTATAGTGAGGAGCCAGGACAGTCCACAGCTGGATCTCCCATCTAGGAAATCCTCTACTACACCACACAGACCTGGGAGCACCCCCCCATGTCCTTCACGCTTTTTCCAGCAAACTCTTAATCAGAATTCCTGTACAACTGTTTACTAGAATCCCCACCCCCACCTGCCCTCAGTCAATCTCAGACTGACCTTAGCTCCATAAGCAGAAGCTATAAGAACGAAGGGAGACTGAGGAACCCAAGACAAATCTGCAGGCCTTACACACACCCACCCACCCCAACACACCACGATCCCTCCCACACACACACATCCAGTTAGTTTCCTGGTTCTTTGAGTTTTCTTTATAGCCTTGACCAAGTACTGTGGAATGAGTTCTGCAGAAATATGGGCGGCATTATCAGGCACACCTACTAGCAGCACACCTGAGTTTCCACGCCTCTCCTACAGTGGTGGGCCACTAGGATCCCCCCCCCAGCTCCAGCTTTTTATGACCCATCTGCCAATAAACCAGACTCCCCCCTCTTCTGTTCAAAGTCATAAAACCAAACGGAAAGGGGGACCTTGCCGAACCACTAGGGAATAAGAGTGAGCCTGGCTCCCCGGAGTTGAAGAGTGGGGGGAGATGTAGTGGGGGAGGGGAAGGAGTCACCTGACCCTAGGGAGAGCTGGGGGTGGGGGGTGGTAGTTTTGGCCTGGATTTTCCAGGCCATAAAATTTCAAAGCAGCTCATGTCTATTAACATGGTCATCTTCCGTTTGGTTGGGGGCTTGGATACCTGGGTCCCCTCACCCCCCATCTGATTCTTTCCCTTAAGTCCAGCCCAGGGTACAATGGGTGAATAAGGAGCGAAACAGTAAGGTTTGAGTAATCAAGCGGTTGCCCTTAACACCTAGTGCAATGGAATGAATTTTCTGAGCTTAGTCGGTACCAAGAAGGTGCAGCTTTTCTGGCCCCGTGGGATACCCAGTGCGAGACACGGCTCAGGATTGAGAATGCCAGCTGGACTGCAGGGAGGGACACAGGGTTCCGAGACTGGAAAAGGAGCACTCAGTTTTCTGCAGCCGGATGGATGCGTTGCAGAACACGGGGCGGGGAAGTGGGTGCCAGGGCGGTGGGGAGGCAGAGAACACTGCGGGCCACTGGGACTGCGGGGGTCCGGGAGCTGATTCTGTTCTCCAGCCTCTCCCATTCATGGCCCTTCAAGACAGAGTCGCTGCCCTCGGTTCCCTCGGTTGCGAGCCCCAGCTTCCCAGGACTCCTTCAACACGGGTCTTTCAGCACACCGGGGAGAGGAGGCAATGTCTCACAACCCGCCCCGCTTGCCCCGCTCCCACCTCCGGGAACCCGGCGTGCACACAATTCCGCCGCCCATCTTCACCGCTCGAAAAAGTTCTGTGAAGTAGCCCCCGCTCCCCAATCCATCAAGTTTTCAAAGTAAAGGCTTCCGGGCCGGGGCAGCCGGGAGCGCCCCGCTTGGAAGCGAGAGGTGCCCTTCCCAGAGCCGCGCCAGCACCGCACCGCTCGCGTCCCGCTGCCCACTTACTCTCCTGGGCCATGCTAATGACGGTCTCGGTGGTGGCGTGGTACTCGTCCTCCTCCAGGAAGTCCTCCGGCTGCAGCGCGTCGCCTTGGAAGTCATGCAGGTCCAGGATCTGCTGCAGCGGCGGCGCCTTGGGCAGCAGCTGCTTCACCACCTCGCGACTGATGTTGGGCGCCTCCTTGAGCCGCAGTTTGCTCAGGATCTGCGACTTGATGCTTTCCAGGCGCAGCTCGCGGCTGTGCTGCCGCCACACGCACACGGGGCAGCCGTCCGGC